AATTACCAGGGTTAATAACAAAGTTAACTGGTTTCAATATTTTTATATTTTATTTTTGATTTTATTTAATAGGACAGTATAAGGAGAAACCAGAAGGAATCAGAGAGTAGAGAGGGGAAAGGACCTCAAGTCAGAACTTGAACTCGGGTTGACCAAAGCTCTGTTGCACGATATGTCAGAATGCTGTCCATAAGGCTATAGCTCCAAGGGAAAATTCTAGAGAGAATAGAGAGAATTCTACAGAAAAATTATTATAATGATTTTTATACTATAAAAAATAAATAATAATTCAAAAAGTATCATAAAAGTACAATTTTGTCATTATTTACTGACCATCAAATTATCTGTATTACTTTCTTGCTTGTGTGGAACACAGGAATATTTAGCAGAATGTTTATTCTGCTCTTTTCCATACAGTTAAATAGATGGGGAACAAGGACAGTGATTTCATACTTTAAGGAACCCTCCATAAAACATTTACAGTCAAAATGAATATCATATTAAAACATAATTAATATTAAATGATATTATATGATATTATAATTTGCTATTTATAGGTATTCTATATTTGGAAGCAAGATGACCACATTTGAATTGCTGTCAAATGTGAATGTTAGCTTTTTGCACCATAAATGTTGTAATCATGTACCAGCCAAGCCTTGATATTATTAAGGGAGGGTGTGGGGATGGTGCTACATTTGGGGAGGGTACTAAAATAATTGCTAGTTTAACATGGCTAGCTAATATCTGTCGCTCTGAGAACAGGTCGCTCAAGTTAATATCATAGATGTGGTGCATCAGAATTGCACAGCCCTCGGTACCAGAGATGTGTTCAGGTTGCTGGGAGCAGTCCAGAGAGAGCACTGCACCCACAGCAGAAGAATGCATCACTTTCTCGCTGACTGATAGCACACATCACTAGTGCTGCTTTATGCACATCAAACACCTGCCACGGTGCATATGCTCTCCTCTGAGGAAAGAGTCACTCTCAGGCTTTGCAAAATACATTCACAAGCACCAGAGATGAGTGATTAGAAAGGTAAAAAGAGAAGTTACTATGCTGAAAGGAAATTTAGAACTATATCAATTGGTGATAAATGGTGTTGTGACGAGAACTGTGTTCCATATAACTTGAGGAATTGTACCAACCAATACTTAGATTAAACCAAAATAAATCATGAAAATTACTATTATATATGATATTCTTACTTTGTTATATCTTAGTTTAAAGTGCTTACATACTTCAGAGCCAATGGACTATTCCAGTGAAGATGTAATCATTTCCCAAATAAAAATCTGTACCAAATCCTAGTGAGCTGCCTACTTGGGCAGTATTTTAAGGCATCGTACTGTAGGAGCACTCCAAATATGAAGGCTGCAGCAAAAATTAGGCAGTAAAATTATGTTTCCAATACACCTCATTCTGGCCAAATTTTAAAGTTGCATAACTTAGAGCCTTCACAGAGAAGGCAATCCCATTAATGTATTATGACGAGCTCAAGTAATGTCCATTCAAGATGTGGAAAAAAAAGAGAATTGTTAATTATAAATACTTACCTTTCAATCAGTACCAAAGTGTATGAATAAAAATAGTTCATAATAATAATAAAACATATATTTGACCCATTTTTGTGTGTGCTGTATATTTTAAAGCTTATTAGAGTATCAACTTGTTAGCTTAGCAGCATACTAACACCAAACAAATTAAATGAAGATTTTCAGTAATTTGAGCTACAATAGCTCTTTTGTGGGATTGGACCAGATGGACTAGCATTCACTCCCCATGTGCATCAATGAGCCTTGTGTGGCCATGAGCCTGATGCTGGTTCATCGGTTGTCCTTCCTTGTACTTTTGGTCGAAGACTTGATGTTTTGGAGATGCTCTGACCCACGCTGATCTTTTCGCTTGCCCCTTTTTCCTGCTTCCAACACATGAAATTCAAGACCTGACTGTTCACTTGATGCCTGATATATCCTGCCCTCTTCATTTGTCAGTGGTTTAAATGTTGTGGCTGATCAGTGTACAAATGTAGTCATTGTGGCTCTTTTTCCAACCAGTGGAAGACAGGGGTTAGTGTTGAGTCAAGCAGTTTAGGAAACAATCATTGTTTGTGAATTTTCGGTGTGTTGTCCCTTTAAAACAGATGGAAGTGGATGCTTGAGTTAATTTAGCCTGTTTTAATAGCATACACTTACATAAATTCAGCTTTTTTCATGTTAATGAAAAGCAGACACCATGCATTTGGAACATACTAACCTATAGTCAACAGTTTGTCAAATGTTTGTGTGGAACACACTTATTTATTTGTAAAAGGCAAAATATTTTATAGGTCCAGGAACTTTTCCCCCCCAGTGTTTTGATATTTTAAGCTAAAATAACCCTAATTCACTTTATGCTTTCTCCTCTCAGTGCCAGTACTGGGAATGCTTTTGATGCTTCTGTGAATCTAACTAAATATTAGCATGGGCTAACTTTGACATGGGCTCAGCCACATGCCACATTGCCATCAACACATGACAGTGGATGTTGTGTTGAAGCTAAAGGCAGAGTGAGTAGTCAGTTAGCAATAATGGAATTAGAGTTTCGGTAATCGACTAAAGTTGAGTGGTAAATTATTACATATCTGAGAAAGTCTTTCTGTATCTCTCTTGTGTTATTGATGAGCAAAATATAAAAATTGTGTAACACCCTATTCTGAATATAATAATGTTGAAAAGAATTTCACCGTCATTCAGGTCGATTAATTATGACAGCCGACTAACCTTATCTCTGTGCAATGCTGTATTGCTCTGACAAGTATGTTGTTAGAGGACACTAGACATATGGTGGGTCTGTATTTGTTGTTTCCCAAAGAGCACACTCTGAATTTCACCAGCAGGACTTCACAAATGTAGAATCTTCATCAAATACCTACTGTCAGTGTGGATTTGGTAATATTCCTGGATGGTCACAGCAGGATTTTCACAAAAATGATCCTGCCAAAGTTACTGCTTCCTAATGTGATGAAACACTTATTCCAAGATACTAAACATAGCATAGTCGGGCCCGACATCAACTAGTTTTCAGAGTGGACTTTTTAAAAGATAATGCTATGACACAATTTGATTTATTGCACCTGTCACGGCAGAGTTGTCTCTGCAAAGATGACATGTCACATGATATGTACTGCAAACCAGGAAAGAGTTTTCGGTAGCAGTAATTTTGGGTAAATTTCATGAAATCTGTCAAGACCATGTCCAGTATTTAACTTAAAGTGTATATGCCTATTTTTAGAACCCCTAAGATTGTTTTCTATTGAGACATTATTTTCCTTCCCCAGTTCTAATTACTGTAACAACAACAACAACAATCTTTATAATCATAATTTATTTAAATGCAAAGTATTTGTACTTTACATTATGGTAAGATTTATTATACTCTTTTCTTTTATTTTACATTCATTACTGATGGGAAAAGACACAAACGTTTCCCATCAGTAATGAATGTAAAATAAAAGAAAAAAGAAGATTGTTCTCGTGAGTGAGGATCATAATTTCCTATACTAAGTAACTCAACAGACTGACGCACCAAAATAAAAAGATCAAGTAACGCAAGAGCACAGTGCAAACGACGTTGTTAATACATCACACAACCCCAT